CCCCATGGGACCTCGGTGGCCTCAGAGGCTGGAGGGAGCAGCTGCTTCCCGTGTTCTCTTCTTAGAAGGAGGAAACCAACTTTTTCAGAAGACACGGACTGACTCTCCCTCCCATCTTGTTACAGGAGAGGGGTCCCAATCCAGACCCCAAGAGAGGGTTCTTGGATCTCGCACAAGAAAACTCAGGGCGAGTCTGTAAAGTGTAAGCAAGGTTATTAAGAAAGTGACGGAGTAAAAGAACGGCTGCTCCGTAGACAGAGCAGCCCCGAGTGCAGCTGGTTGCCCATTTTTATGGTTATTTCTTGGTGATATACTAAACAAGGGGTGGATTATTCACACCTCCTCTGTTTAGATCATAGAGGGTAACTTCCTGATACTGCCATGGCATTCGCAAACTGTCATGGTGCTGGCGGGAGCGTGGCAGTGAGGACCACCAGAGGTCACTCTTGTCGCCATCGTGGTTTTGGTGGGCGTTAGTGGCTTCTTTACTGCATCCTTTTATCAGCAACATCTTCATGACCTGTGTCTTGTGCCGACCTGTCTCATCCTGTGACTTAGAAAGCTTTACCTCCTGGGATTGCAGCCCAGCAGGTCTCAGCCTCATTTTACCCAGCTCCTGTTCAAGAGGGAGCTGCTGTGGTTCAAATGCCTCTGACCATCTCAGTGGCCAGACTTGGATCAAGCCCTGGCGGGGAGAAGAGGTTAACAGTGTTGGTTCTCTATTGTGTGTAACAAATCACCACAAACTCAGCAGCCTGAAGACACACCCGTGTGCCATCTCACAGTGTCTGTGGGTCTAGGCTCTGGGCACAGCCAGATGGGTCCTCGGCTTGGGCCCTCACATCTCACCAGGCTGCACTCCATCCGGGTGGCTGGGCCACATTCTTATCTAGAGCACAGTTGGTGGCTCAGTATCTTGTGGCCGTGGGACTAAGGCCATTGCTGTCTCACTGGTTGTTGGCCAGGGGCCACCCTCCTCAGCCCTTAGAAGCTGCCAGGACAGGTACCCCTGGATATGTGATGGGGTTACATCTCAATAAACCCACTGGAAGTTGAAAATGCACTTAACAGCCTGGGCAACATAGTGAAACCCTGTCTCTAGAAAAAATAAGAAAATTAGCCAGATGCAGTGGCATGTACCTGCATTCCCAGCTTCTCGGGAGGCTGAGGCAGGAGGATCTCTTTTGCCCAGGAGGTTGAGGCTGCAGTGAGCTGTGATCGTACCACTGCACTCCAGTCTGGGTGACAGAGCGAGACCCCATCACTAAAAAGTTTTAAAAGGCCAGGTGCAGTGGCTTATACCTGTAATCCCAGCACTTTGGGAGGCTGAAGTGGGCAGATCATGAGGTCAGGAGTTCAAAACCAGCCTGACCAACATGGTGAAACCCTGTCTCTACTAAAAATACAAAAATTAGCGGGGCGTGGTGGTGGACGCCTGCAATCGCAGCTACTTAGGACGCTGAGTCAGGAGAATCACTTGAACTCGGGAGACAAAGGTTGCAGTGAGCCAAGATTGTGCCACTGCACTCCAGCCTGAGTGACAGAGTGGGACTCCATTATGGAGTCTCCCCTGCTCCGCTCTGCTGCGATGAAGGCCCCTGTAAATCATGCTGTCGAGGGAGCCATTCCCGGTCCTTTGCCATATTCTGTTAGTTGCAGGCTAGTCCACCCACACTCATGTCACGGGCAGGGTGCCTGGAGGCAGCCCAGGGTGTGTCAGTCACACCACAATTGGCTAGGACAAATCAGGACCAACTTTTGGAAGTGGAGACAGGGTCTTCTTCCCAGATCACGTTGCGAAGGGGTAGAGTTTCAAAAATTCACAGCTCTCTTGATGAAGAGGGGGAGCTGAATGCCTGGCGAGAGTGTCAGGTGTACATGGCTGTGTAACTAAGAATCCCAAAAGTCGGGACAACTACCACCATTTTATCTGTTCGCAGTTTGAGCTGGGCTCCTGGGGCGGTGCTTCTGCTGGGCCTGGGACCACTTGTCCAGTGATGGTCCTCTGGCAGCTGACCCGTGGCTGGGTGGCCTGAGACGGCATCACTCATGGTGCTGGCCATTGCTCAGTGCCTGTGTTCACACGGCCTCTCTTCGCCCAGGAAGCTAGCCCAGGCACTGCTTTACATGGTGGTCTCCAGGGCTACAACAGGGCCCGGGGTCCTGGAAACTTCAGAAGCATAAGAGCTTTTGAAGCTTTGCGTGGAAGGCGACTGCATCACTTCTTATGTATTCTGCCAGTCAAAAGCCGAGGCGGGCAGATCACGAGGTCAAGAGATCGAGACCATCCTGACAAACATGGTGAAACCCCGTCTCTACTAAAAATACAGAAATTAGCTGGGTGTGGTGCGCCTGTAGTCCCAGCTACTCAGGAGTCTGAGGCAGAAGAATTGCTTGAACCCAGGAGGTGGAGGTTGCAGTGAGCCGAAATTGTGCCACTGTGCTCCAACCTGGTGCCTGGCGACAGAATAAAACTCTATCTCAAAAAAAAAAAATTACTCATCCAAGTCAGATTCACTGGGGCGTTGTGGGGAATAGACCACACCCGCTCAGTGGGGAGAGTGGCAGTGTCATATTGCAGAGACATGTGCGAGGGGATAGAGGGTGTGGCCGCCTTTGTAAACCATCTGGCCTGGTAAGCAAATGACAGAGTCTGTGTCCACATGCATTTGTCATGTCCACAGGCGTGTGTCCAGCAGATTACCGAAACAGACACAGAGGAGCCTTTTAGTCCAGAAGAAAAGAATCCCAGAGTCTCAGGGAGTGACTTAACGATTTAGGAGAGATTTTTTCTGATGATTTTCCTTTCCTTTCTTTCTGCCACTCACCCAGGGCTTTATCAAGCGAGCAGCCAAGATGTTCTTGCTTGTCACCCACCTCTTGCTTTATTTAAGCTTATGTTTTTTTTCACTCTTCCATGCAGAGAGAAAAGAAAAGTGTGTTTTATCACAACCTATTCCTAGAAACTCTGTCCTTCAGGGTTTTGTTGTAAAGGGGCCATGAATTCTGTAGAAATAATAAGCAGAGCAGGGTGGGGGTTGGGTTTCCACCAAAGTCTCCGCATCAGATAAATCAAAGCTATGACCAGCATCATAAAATAATATACCCAGCTATAAGCATCTCAAATAATTTTAATAAGAACGTTGTTCTGCTCTGAAACAGGAATAAATATGTTATATTTTTATTATAAAACAGCCACCAATTTACTACAAAGTGTAAACATAATCTATAAAAATATAATTCTACTGTACCATAAATATTACTATTTATATTGCTAGCTATAAAAGGCACTCAGCATTTAATTAACAATAATTTTGCGAATATGTTTATGTTCCTTTTAAAAAGCAAAAGCCTTGTATATTAATCTTAGGCGTTGCTCCCTTCTTGGAATTTACGTGGGCTGTTGGGGAGTCACCGTGGCGGTGCTAGCTAGGTACGTACCGGGCTTTCCTCGGAATTCTTTCTTCGCGGTGACCCCTCTGCTGTTCCGTCAACACCCTAGGAAGGAGGTATGTGATTACCCCTGACTGACAGTTGAGGAACCGAGGCACGGGAGGGTAGGAAATTTACCCCCCACCAGGCACATGAAGGGTAGGGGGTGAATGTAAGCCCACGCCTCCTGGACCGGGAGCTGTGCTGTGGACTTACCGGCAAGCGTAAAGAATAATGACTGGCCCCTCCTTTCCCTCAATACCTTTAGCAGGCAAAATACTTCCAGTCTTTTTTCCAGTCCTGAAGGGCTTTGCTATTTAAACCAGGTCACCAGGAGCATTCTGTCATTACCGGGCCAAGGGTCTGCGGGCCTTCATCAGTAATGAGCATAACCAGAAACACAGCCGGAAGCTGAGCTGCAGAAGGCAAGGCCAGCGAGGCAAAGGGCTGTTAAACCCCTCCCCACCTTCGTGCCAGGAGCCCCTGGGACCTGGGGCAGGGCTGGCTGGCTTTACCGACTAAGTGGCCATCACTCCTTTGCAGATGGGAAATGGGCTCCGAGAGGCTCACTAGCGTGCCCCAGGCCACACAGCTGAGTTAGGTGGTTCAGAAGAATTTGAACCCAGCTCCGACTCTGAAGCACTAGTGCTTTCCAGTGCCCCAGACAGCATCATATTGTGAAGACAGGCTTGGCTGTGCACCCAGGGAAGATGACAGAACCAACACAAATGAAAGCTAGTGGGGCCGGGTGATATCATGTGGGGCTGTGGGCGCAGACCCTGGGGTAAGGCCTAGGTTCACATCTCAGGCTTGGCTCGTGAGAGGGAAGAAATGGTGGATCTGAGCGTCTCTGGGAATAGAGCTGGGATTGCTGATCTC